GTGGCAAACTTGCCACATAGTGCTCTTGATGGCCAAAGCACACTGGGTTCCCTAGATTCTACTCTTGCGAACCGAGACTCTCTGGAATTAGGTAAGCGGGATCCAGGGAGCGAATGCACATTCCATTCCAGACACCAGGAAAACTGTGAAGATGGAATAAATGTGTGGATCTCAGTCTGGTTTGGAGACCCTTTAAAACGTGATACGTGGCCACGTGTTGGATACTTGGCTGGCCAAACCGTCCGTTTATCTATGTCTACGCCTGGCTCTGGTACTACCTTGGCCTGTGAAGGTTGAAGATTCGAGCTCCATATTGGAACTTTGCCCTCACCGGCGGATGCTTCAGCTGCACTGTTGGAGGAGCGTCTTTCGTATGACGTGTTTAACCCAGGTCCTGTCAACCTATTCTCAGGTGGACAACAACTTGCATTTGCAGAACTCCTTTTGTGTTGGGAGGACACAAAAGAGCCTCAAAACACAGATGACTGGAAGCCTGAACTGGGGTGAGAGGGAACGTGGCCCAAAGTCCAGTCAAAAGATAGCTTTTAATGCAGGTTTTGAAGGTGAGGAGAGAGAAGGCGAGGTGGAGCAACTAAAGATCGAAGAGAGGACACAATGGCAATAAACTCGGTCCCTGACGGTGGGACAGATTGGACATAGGACATGAGGCCGGCTGAGCAGCGCAAGCGGCTGGGGCAACAGAAGGTCACCCAGATAGGGTGGAGTAAGACTGGAAGCATTTGAAAGTGAAAATGAGAATTTTAAATTTGATCTGCTAGGGAGTGGGGAGCTGATCAAAGATTTGATATAGCACCTACATGTAGCATCAATTAATAATTTGACCTTCAAAAAAAAGTAATAAATATAATTTGGTCACTCAATCTACAACTTTGTGGGACACTGCTGTGCGTAATTGGCTATCGCTTTTTACCCACAAAAGTCAATTCACCTTACAGTATATTCTGTGAAGGGCTTTGAGATGTCTCAACAACTTAAGGCTCTATATCAAATGCAATGATTATTATTATCAATACTTCTCAAAGTGCTTCAAAGGATACAATAACAAATTACATTTGTATAGCGGCTTTCACGTTGGGAGGACTTCCCAAGGCGCTGGTCAGTCAGGAATTTTGAAAAAAAAGCACTGCAAAGTGTAGTGACGGAGAAGATATGCTATATCTTCTAGGAAGAGTGCTATATCAAGTTGTTCTTGTATGCGAACCTGGCAGCCAATTTGTGTACATCAATATCCTGCAACCAGCCATAAAGTGAACGTCCCAAGTTTTTTTTATTTGAGGGATTAGATAGTTATCCAGTTTCCATCTGAATAATTCTACACTGACTTTAATGTAACAGTTGGCCAGGACACCTCTTTTCAAATAGTTCTGCAGACAATCGTCCAGATTAATGGTCATGCTTGTGAGACCTTGCTGTGTGCAGAGCAGCTGTAACCTTCGCCTACATAAAACAGTTACTGCACTTGACAGCAACTCCTGTAAAGTCTGTGCTTACTTTGAGAAGTGTTAACGATAAAACTCTATGCAAATGTAAGTTCTTTTTTGCACTGACCTGCCCACCTTCAGACAGTGAGTGAGTGAGGATCTTCCTGATTCAGCTGCGTTGAGGGGAGATGAACAGTGCTGAGGAGGACAGAATGTGAGTTTGTTAGAAACTCAAACTGCATTTTAACATTGGCTAGAGATTATAATGGCAAAAACCTGGTGACTGGACGCACAGAAACCCATCGTCATTCTTGAGTCTTGAAAACAAACTATTGAAGGACCTATACTACATATACACGATTTCCTTTTGTCTGGTGTAGAGTGCACTCTCGTAGCTGAATTAGCTGAATTGTGTTGGTCAACAGTTAAGTTTCAGCCCAGCTCAGTCAGTACAACTTCCACCTGTGGGTCAGAAAGTTGTAGGTTCAACCTCCACATTGGGGATTTTGAAGACTGATGGTCTATTGCAGAGCACTGCATTGCCACTGATACTGTCCTTCGGATGAGATGTTAAACTGAGGTCCTGTCTGCCTGTTCAGGATGTTAAAGGAAAGGGAGTTTCTTCTAGTGTCCTGGCCATCAGTCCTCCATTTAAAATTGGTCTTTCGCTTCATGGTCATTTGTGGGATGTTGCTGTGTGTAAATTACCTGCAGTTTTTGCCTAAGAGCAATCACTACCCTTCACAAAAGCTTTGTGGACTGCTTTTTTTGGTCAGCCGGAATACAGAAATCCATCACCATGCTGAAGAGTATCCAACTAAGCAGAGTTCCACGCTCCCACCTACACATGGAAATGTCCATGTTTGGCAATTCCTGACGTGGAATGCTTTGACAAATCAACTCTATCAAATTACAATTATTAAACATTTGTAAAAGATTATTAAATTTTAAAAGATTTATTGAATTTTTCCAGAGAATGGGGGTGGAGGGTTGATCACAAAGGGGTGTGAGAGGCACTGAGTGAGCTACAGCCTATAAATAGCAGCTGCTGTGATGATGCTGTGGGTTTACAGAACAGCGGCAGCCACGTTAATCTCACACCCCTGGTTTATAGCAGGTCTGTTTATTTCTGCTGAACAATCCTGTTTAAATGATTTGAGTTAAGTGGCTTGTAGGACCTCTGTTGAACTGGATCTAGCTCTGATATAGCAAATATTCCCTTATATAGTGGAGTGCTTCTTACACACGTGTATGTGTGCTTCTCTGCACTACCAATGACAACAACAAATCACATTTATATAGCGCCTTTCATGTCGGAGGGACATCCCATGGTACCAAGTGTGGAAGTGAAGTCTGGCTGCGATTATCGACAAAAAATTGTAATTGCCTGCAATGAGACTTTGTGCTCATAGACAAGGCTGATACTCCATTGTCAAAGGTGCCCTCCTTCAGATGAGATGTTAAACTGAGGTCCCATCTGGGACTGTTTCAGATGGCCAAAAATCCCCAGTTAAGACTGTTCTTTCACTTCATGGCTGTTTGGGAAATTGCTGGGCAAATTGGCTGCTGTGTTTTGCCTACAAATAGTCACTACACTTTAAATTAAAATCCTCTGAAATGCTTTGAGAATTTTCAATGACATAATATGCTGTATCAAATGTAAGGATTATTCCCTGACCCAGAGGATGACGAGAAAGCTGTAAACAAACAAACTCGCAGAGAGCACGAGCGGGAGATGTGCACTCAAGAAGTCATGATTTTACCCTTTGAGGTTATTTAGTAAAAGCAGCAAAGCTGTGCTCATTGTCTGTCAAACCACCACCTGTAAAGTCCATGCGTAACATAGCTTTATGTTAGTTGCCATGGGGAAGGGGAGAGAGACGTAGGGTCAGGGGAGTCTATCTCAGGCATTTCCAGATATCATGGGATGCAAGCAGGAATCTGTATGCAGTGTTTTGCATACTATACTGTTATGCAGTGACTGCCTATGGATAGTTCTGGCTGCCAGGCAGTATTCATCTGCATGAGGGCCTCACCCAAATGGTATCGATGCCTAATAAAGATTTGTTTAAATATTCTTGTTCTCTTGCTTGCTCTAAAATAATTCTGCCAGTTTCCAATAGCACCTTGACTACCTGAGTGTCCATCTGTCCATATCTGTCTCCAATGAGGAATTCAACTCAGGACTGGTTTAAAAAAATCTAGTTGCATGCATGAGAGTACATGGGTCACAATTTAACCATTGTTACAGGTAAATTGTGGGGATAGAGACTAGGGAGTCGGGACCAAGAACGTCAGAGAAAGATTGAGCTGAAAGTCCCAATGTGGGGCCTGAACTCACAACCTTTAGCCTCTTAGGTGAGAGTACGACCAACGCTTTACAATGCTATTTTGGGCTTGATTGTACAGTACAGGGTGACACTGCCGAGATAATTTATTATGGTTATGTCACTTTCTCTGGTGAAAACTACTACTTCCTCAACTCCCTTTTTTTTAAATGAAATAATACTCAAGTGGCTCAGAGAGTACTGCCTGGGTCTGCCCTAAGTTAATCTTCAAATGGTCTTGTTGTGAAATTTAGGTAATTTTTGCTGGGGAGAGGGACGAGAGTAGAGGGTACTTTTCATAAAATACATTAGTGAGTTGTCAAGTTGAGACTCACCAGCTAACACAGCATAGCTTGCTATTGAGAGCGCTGTCTGGCAAGCTGTCTCACTTCTTATCCAGCTAGGACCACCCTACCCTTTAGGGCTTTGGTTTACAGGGATAACAGAAGCTGAGTGGGAAGAGTCCCTGCCTCTAGTGACTGGTCTGCCCTTCCACGTCCTGCCAATGAGCCAGGCTGACTGGTCTTTTATCAGCAGTGCCCTGGAATACTGTGAACTCACCTGGCTCAAGAACCGAACTGGAGACTGTCACAGAGGATGGGATTGATTCTGACATTTGGTTGCCAAACATGTCACCCTAGAGCCATCCCAGCTCCAAGGCGACTGCACTTGCACTACCCCCCCCCCCCCCACCAAGTCCCCACCTTGCTCTTGTACACTGTCCACTCAAAGCAAGTGAGACGTGCATCCTGCAGGAAAGTCTGTATTAATGAGAGTTGCTATTGAGTGTTGCAGCTGCTAGTTAAAAATGCACAGCGCCAGCATGTTTTTTTTACTGGCTAGAATTTCAGGAGCCCGGCTTGCTGCCAGCGAACTGGGAGAGTAAAAGTGAGCGATCCCCAAAGATTGGTTTGATCCTACGCTTGGGCAGTAGTAACCCTCGGATTTCACGGCCATAACACTGCAATGTTTTCAGAGAGTTTTACAGATAATCGCTGATGAGTGTAGTGACTGCGCTCAGCAAAGTCTCATAAATGGCCATGAATTGAACAAACAATTTATCTGGGGGATTGACAGCCAGGACACTGGGAGAGAGAAACTCCCTTCTGTTTTCCAATAGCATCGCACAGTATCTGAGCAGTATGCTAAATAAACCCCCTATTTTTTTATTGACACTGTCTTGTTTGTCAATAGCCTGGTCCATGTAATGTGTGTTTCTTTACCTCTCCAGTGACTTCTCTGGAGCAGCTGTCGCTTCTGATTATTGCAGTGTCTGAGGAAAATGGTGAGTGTATCAGAGTTGTGAAGCCTCCACGTTTGAATAACCATGTGGTTGGGTGTGTGCGCTCCAAACCTCAACAACAACTTGCATTTATATAGCGCCCCTCATGTAGGGTAGCATCCCAGAGCGCTTGATAGCGCACCACTAAGGGATGTGGGAGCTGACCGTATGCATGGTCGAAGAGGAAGGTCTTGAGGCTCGACCTGAAGATGGGGAAGGAGGGGGCAAGCTGGGGGGATTGAGTGAGAGTGTTCCAGATTTTGGAGCGCAATGGCTGAAAGCACAACCGCTGATGGTGGAACGGGGGGGGGCCGAGGGACAAGATCATTTTTTTTGATGATCTTAACTTGATTAACTGACTTACCGACCGGTGGAAATAGTTTCTCCCCATTTATCTTCTCAAAGCCTCGCATCATTGTGAACATGTCCAGCAGGTTTTCTCTCAGCCTTCTCTGTTCTAATGAAGACTAGCCTCTCCCATCATAACTAAAGTCTCTCATCCCCAAGAAGGAATCCTAGAAATTTGCTGCACAGAAGGAGGCCAGTGCCTGCTTGCTAAGAGTTATCCATTTAGTGTGACTCCCTTACCTTTTCCTGGTACCTTTTTATATTTTTCTTATGATTGAGTGAATCTCTTCTGCATCCTCTCCATACCTTGAAGTGGGCCAGCCAATAACTGTGGTCTAACCAGTGATGTGTGTGTCTTACCAGGGCTAAATGGTGTGGGTGGGTGGGGAGGTTTTTTCGGTTCTAATCCTTTCAGATCTGTTGGCCAGCTCCATTTCCCCTGCCCGCACCACCATTGGTGGTCAGGCCTTCAGCCTCTGTACCCACTCTTTGGAACTCTATCCCACAGTCCCTTTGCCTTGCCCGCTCCTTTGCCTCCTTCAAGGGCCATCTCATCAAAGACTTTCTTCTTCGACAGTATCTTCGGTCATCCTCCTATCGCTGCTACCACTCCATCTCTCCTAATCCCAACCCCCAGCTTGGGTGCAAATCCTTGACTGTCCAACTCCTTGGGATGTCCTCCCGACGTGAAAGTTGCTATTCAAACGTAGTTTGTTGTTGTAACCGGCCCTCCTATGCTCTGCCCCTCAGACCGATTCTGTGGACATGAAGACCCCTAACGTGAATAACACATCATCGGGCTCCGGCACACAGGAGGAAATCGTTTCCAATGGGCACACAGAGAGCGAACCCAACCCTTTCGCAGAGTACATGTGGATGGAACATGAAGAGGAATACAATAGACAGGCAAGGGGGTGGGCACATGGCCCAATGCACCAAGTGGGGAAAAAAGAACTTGTGCTTTTATAGACCTTTGTTGAAGGAGCTCAAGGCACAATAATTGCTGTCAAATGTAGTTTTTTTGTTTTTGTTTGTAGCCATTTTCCACACAACAGAAGACTGGTGGCAGAGGACTGGAGGGTTGCAAATGTTACTCCTCTGTACAAAAAGGGGGAGAAGGTTAAACCCGGGAACTACACACCAGTCAGCCAAACGTCGGTGCTGGGGAAACTTCTAGAGACGATAATCTGGGACAAAATAAATTGCACTTAGAAAATTATGGGTTAATGTAGGACAGCCAGCACAGATTAGTTAAAGGCAAATCATGTCTAACAAACTTTATAGTCTTTTTCAAGGAAGTAATGGACAGGGTGGATGAAGGTAGTCCAGTTGATGTAGTGGAGTCCTGTAGCTCAGTGGTTAGAACACTCGCCTCACAAGAGAGAAACCTGGGGGTTCAACTCCCGGAAGGGAAAGGTGTTGGGCAAGTTTCCTTACTCCACACGCCTCTGTTTACCTAACAGTAAGTAGGAACCCGGTTGTTAGTCGATTGGCAGATCACTTTTCCGGGGGGAATAATTCCTTCAAAAAAATAATAATGAATTGGTCACTACAATCTACGGCGGTTTGTGGGATGCTGCCGCGTTTTGCCCGCAAAATATAGTCGATTCACTTTACATTATATTCTGCAAAGTGCTTTGAGACGTCTCGGAGATGTGATAAAGTGCTTTATCAAATGCAAGGATTATATATATATATGGATTTTCAAAAGGCTTTTGATAATCACTTAATATACTTGTTAGAAAAATTGAAGCTCATGGTATTAAAGGGACAGTGGCAGCATGGATACAAAACTGGCTGAGAGACAGAAAGCATAGATCAGTGGTGAATGGTTGTTTCTCTGACTGGAGGGAAGTATACAGCAGTGTCCCCAGGGATCGGTATTAGGACCACTGCTCTTTTTGATCTATATAAATGACTGGACTTGGAAGTACAATTTCAAAGTATGCAGATTATACAAAGCTAGGAGAAGTGGTAAATGGTGAGGATAGCAGAAGACTGCAAGAGGACATCGACTGGTAAAATGGACAGACACATGGCAGACGAAATTTAATGAGGAGAAATGCAAAGTGATGCATTTTGGGGAGGAGAAGGGGGAGAGGCAATATAAACGAGATGTTACAATCTTACAGCGGGTGAAGGAACAGAGAGACCTGGGGGTCCGCATAAGCAAATCTTCGAAGGTGGCAGGACAGGTAGATAAAACTGTTTATATTTTTAAAAAAAAGGAATATTCAGCTTTATAAATAGGGGCATAGAATACAAAAGTAAAGAGATTATGATGAACCTTTATAAAACAGTGGTTCGGCCTCAGCTAGAGTACTGTGTTCAATTCTGGGCACCACACTTTAGGAAGGATGTCAAGTCCTTGCAGAGGGTGCAAAGGAGATTTACCAGGATGGTACCAGGAATGAAGGACTTCAGTTATGAGGAGACACTAGAGAAGCTGGGGTTATTCTCCTTGGAGCAGAGAAGGTTAAGGGGAGATTTAATAGTTCAAAAATTATGAGGGGATTTGATAAAGTGAACAGGGAGAAACTGTTTCCACTGGCGGGTGGGTTGTTAACCAAAGGACACAGATTTAAAATAGTTGCCAAAAGAACTAGAGGGGAGGTGAGAATATTTTTCACACAACGAGTTGTTCAGATCTGGAATGCATTACCTGAAAGGGTGGTAGAAGACGATTCGATAACAATTTTCAGAGAGAAGTAGATAGATATTTGGAGAGGACAAATTTGCAGGGCTTATTGGGAGAAAGCGGGAGGGATAGGATTAATTTGGATAGCTCTTTCAAAGAGCTGGCACGAACACGACGGACTAAATGGTTTCCTTCTATGCTGTATAATTCTATGATTCTAACAACTTGTATTTACACTTGCCTTTCATGTTGGGTAGCATCTTGGAGCGCTTAACAGTGGTGAAGTTTGACATAGAGCTGGGGAAAAGGGGGAGGTGACTAGGCCTGGTTGAAGAGGAATGTGTGATCTGAAGACTGGTAAAAAGGGAGGCAAGGCAGAGGGATTGAGGCAGGGAGTTTTGAGTTTTGGGGCATGAATGCTGAAATCACAATGAGGTTTCAAAACAAAGCCACAAAGTGACCCGTTTTATTTGGAAACAAAATACTATCCTTGTCATCACTTTTAAAGCCCTCCAGGTTCTTGCCTCACCCTACCTCTGTGACCTTCTAAAACCCTACCAAACTGCCTACGCTACCATTCAGGGTCAGACCTTCAGCTTTTCCGACGTTACCCTCTGGACCTCCGTCCTGGAGTCCATTTGCCTTGGCGCTTCCCTCACCTCTGTCAAGATCCATCTCAAAACCTTCCTCTTTGACTGTGCCTTCGGTCATCTCTCCACCCTGCACATCCACCCCTCTTGAATCCAACCCCCAACTTGGGCACAAACCCTCAACTGTCCAATGCCTTAGGGCATTGTCCCAAAGTGGAAGGTGCTATATAAATGCAGTTTGTTGTTGACCGTGAGAAATACCCTTCTCTTCAACCCCCGCCCCACCATAGTATCATAGGATCTTTAGCATCCACCTAAACAGACACAATTTTAACATCTCATCCAAAGGACGGCGTCTCTGCATCTGCCTGGACTATGAGCTCACAAGGTAAACCTGATCCAGAGGTATGAATGTTGTGCAGACTAAGCCAGGCTGCCACCACTGGCTCCCTGTGGAGGCGTTAGCTCATGCCCTGCAGCTGCTGTCAGCTGAGTAACTCCCTGCTGAACACAGACAGCTGAACATGAACAAAGGAAAAATGTACAAGAACCTCCCAGGTTTCAATCTCAATCCACAGAGCCTGTAATGTGTTGGTTAGAGCGCTCACCTCAAGTAAGAGGCCCGGGTTTGATTCCCGGGCGGGGCGAAACCTTAGGCAAGTTTCCTTACTCCACACACGTCTGTTTACTTAGCAGTAAATAGGAACCTGGTTGTTAATCGATTGGCGGTTCGTTTTCCAGTGTATAATCCCATCTGAATAAATAAATAAATTTAGTCACTCAATCCATGACAATTTGTGGTACGCAGCTGTGTGCAATTGGCTGCTGCATTTCGCCCACAAAATATACAGTCAGTTCACTTCACAATATATTCTGTGAAGCGCTTTAAGACATCTTTGCGATGTGATAAGGAGCTATATCAAATGCAAGGATTATTATTAAAATGTTAGAGGCTGAGGCCAACTAACTAATCCGGTTCCAGAACTAGTTAGTTGACCTCAGTTGAGCCGGTAGTTATCAAGGTTTCCAACTGCTGATTGCTTTCCGGGCGCACTCTGTTCCCTGCCCTTCTCGTCACTCGGATTTCCCGAAAGGTGGGTATTTCCGACTTGGTGGAGGTTACGATTGAATACCTGTGAAAGGGAGACTGATTTCTTCTCTCTTTCCCGCTTATCGCCTCCTAATTGTGGCCAAATGTGGCTTACTGTTGAGTTTTGCACATTAATTGTGATCCATCAAGCGAGGTACCAGAGGACATTTGAGGGGAAAGGAGCTGCAATATCTTGTGGGGGGTGGATGGGTGCAGGAGAGGGGAGATGATTGTGGGGAGGGTGATGGGGACGTGGCTGGGTGTCAGCTGACCCCTTTTAAACCTAATTCCACCTTGAACTGAGGAAAACAAAGTGCAGTATTAACACTAACAGAGTGTTAAACAAAACGTATTAGTCAGCATGCCTAAGGGAACAATATTGTAGAATTGCGAAGGGCAGAAATTGATGTGGACCCGGGGTGGGGGGAGGGGGAGTAAGTAAGTGACCTGGTATTTCCTAGGTTTCAACACTAGACTCGTCTGGTTTGTATGATGTTGCCGTGGTTTCCTACAAATAAAAACAGTCATTGGATCTGACAGCAGTTGAGCACTTTGAGATGTTTTTGCATTGTAGGCGTGCTATGAAATGCAAGGTTTTCAATTGCAGCCTCGCCTGTGTGTTTGTAGCAGGACCCAATGATCTGGCTTTAGTTTACCTCCTAATGTGATTTGGGATTGGGGGAAGGCATTTAGGAGGGATTCGTTGAAGACCTTTGCAGGAATGTTGGGGAGCACCAAGGTGGGGGGAAGAGGAAAAGCAAGTTTAAATTTGTTAACCAGAGGTGCGATCCGAGGAGTTTCTAAGAGGGTTTTGAAGGCTTTTTTTTTGGTCAGCCGGGTATCTGGTACATGAAAATCCATCACTGTATTCTAGAGTATCCAGACCAAACTGAGATTTCCATGCGTCCCGCCTACACATGGAAATAAATCCCAGAGATAGATTGTTGGAATGGAATGCGCAATCTCTCCCTGGAAGGACACGTCCTGCTGATTCTGGAAAGTATTCAGCACAGGGTGGCAAAAGCCAAGTCTTGGGAAACCCAGAGTGTGTGTGTTAGGGTAACTGCTGGAGTCTTAACTATCCATAACCACACAGCTTGCCATTGAGAGCACTGACTGAAGGCACAAGGATTTTGAGAGAGATCCAGAGTGTGGCCCCACTGGCACTGAGACAGATGGGGAGCAGAACCAGCGGAAAAGCCTAGGGCAAGTAGTGACTGGAGGAGATTGCAGAGACAAGAGTAGAGAGCTCCAGTGGGAGTGCGAGCACCAGCATAGACACGATGGGGAGAGCGCGGGGAAGGGATTAGAGTACAGTTTAGCGCCTGATATCTGCACTAACTGGACCAGTCTTGTTGTGGATATGAAAACAGTGCGGATGTCAGATTTGTGTTTGTCTGTCTCTCTTGCTCTTTCTTTAATCCTGTCTTCACTTGAATCGTATATCCACCTGCCGATGTAGGTTGTCTGGCTCATTGTGCGCCTGGTAACTGAGCCTGCCCCTGAGCACACTTGTGGAATGGTTGGTGTGTGGTTCTTTGGTAGCTCAAGGGAGATATTTGCACAGTGTGTGCTGAATGGACCCAGTGTGGCTTACTGAATCAAAAGTAACTAATGCTCCTCTCCCTCTTCTCCACCCCCCCCCCCCAATCCCCCCCCCGGTGGTGATCGACAGGTCGAGGAGGAGTTATGGGAGGAGGAGTTCTTGGAGCGTTGTTTCCAGCAGATGCTGGATGAGGAGGACAAGGAGTGGTTCATTCCAGAGCGGGATTTGCCCGGCATCAACCAGATACAACAGCAGATGAACGGATTGTCCGTGAACGACAGCAGCAAGACAGAGGAACTCGTGGTGAGGGGCAGAGCAGGATACATAAATGGTGACAGAGACGCTAGCTATACATGTCGATAATTGGCCGGAGTTGGGATTGACTCCTTATTTCAGAGCATCCAGAATTTTGGATCCATCCATTCAGTCTTAACTTTTCTTTGGTCACTGGGGTCTCTACACACTTGGAAACCCATCACTGTGCTTTAAGAGTCCCCAAACCAGGCTCACCCCTCTCTCTCTCTCTTTCTCCTCCCCCCCACCCCGTCGGCGGTGGAAAGGTAGGGATGTGTCAGGGCCTGAAGGGATTTGAAAGCGAGTGTGAGCATTTTGAAATCGACCTGTGTACTGATAATGTTTTTAGTATGTCTTCTCCTCTTCCTGCCCTGTAACCCAACATCTCTCCTCTTGCTGCTTTAGAGTAAAAGTACTCTGAATCCTGATGCGAAGGAGTTTGTACCTGGTGTGAAATACTGAGGACCCCAAGGCTTGCAGACTGCCCTCTGCTGGAGGAGTTGACGGTGGCACAAGAGAAAACCAACACTTCTGAACACTGTGAAGCCAGTCACTCTTTAGGAGGGTCGATTTTGTTCATAGATGCTACCGGGTATTTTTTTTCCCCTCTCTCCTCCTTGCCTCCTACCCTTTCCTTCCCCTTTACTCCCAAATCTGCAAGACGCATTAGATTTCAATGTTTTCCAGCTTGTTTCAGCTTCATTGCAAAACTCTCCAAACACACACACACACGCACACACAGGTCCTGTTACGTTTTCCCCACACCCAAGCAGAAAGCGGCATAATTTCTGCCCGTACTGAAGTGAACCAGTATTCACATGCCAGCGCAGTATTCCTCTTAACAGTGGGGAAGGGGGCTTTGGGGGGGGGGGGGAATAAGACCCGTCTTTTCCTCAAAGGAGGAATGGGTGGGAGTGTAAACAGTGAAGAGAAACTGTCTGAATCGCTGAATTTGTACAACGCAGCTCAAAAAAAAAACTTGTTTGTGTAGGGGTGGGACAGTGTCTGCCTGACCTGCATTTTAATTTAAAGCTGTGGTTTTCTTTATTTTAACCCAAAAAAAATTAGCTTATTTAAGCACTTGGTCAAAAACGTAGACTCTTAAAAAGACCCCATTTGAATAAGGACCACTGCAACACAGATAGACTTTGTGTTGGGGGGAGGGGAAGGGGGCGGTAGTTTTGTTGTGGGGGTTATGGTGATGTGTGTTTTGTTACAAGCTTCCTCTCCCCTCCCTCGTGCTCCCTGTTACAAATCTGTCATCCTCACCGCCACTTGGTGGTGGGGGGGGAGAAAGAGGTTCAATTGTTGCCCAGTATTAACCAGTTAAGTCCAACTGCCCACTTTTTCTGATACCTAATCGTTTTGAAAATTATTTTTCCAAAAAGAACCCACTTTTTTTTCTAGTTTTAAAAAAAATGCACAAAATGGCAGCTAAGGGGTGATTTTATTTTCTCTGGTGTTGAAGCAACTTCTTACACTTTTTTTTCCAAAGTTTATCTTTTTCAAGTGTAGAGTTCGGGTTAGGCTGAAAAACGATGAAAAATTGTAAGCGCTTTTGATTTGGTAGAATGACATGCAGAGGTTGCCAGGAAAGGTGGGATAGCGAGCTTACATGGCTGATGTTTATAGGGTTCTGAACGTTTCTCATTGAGGAGGGTGGTGGGGGATGTATGGCGGGGGTGTTGTGAGGCGTATGGGGGAGTGGTTGTTTGGAAAGGAGAGCAAGGAGGAAGTTTACCTAGTGATATCAATAGTAGCTTTAATGCTGTGTAGGTAGGCTTAAATAGAGCCCTTGTCTCCTCCTCTGCTAGCTGAAACTCCACATAGTCTTTGCCGGTAAGTCCATCTTGTGTTAGTTTAATATTGCTATGGAATAATCTTAATTACAAGCTGAATTTGGAAACTCATTTCTTAAGATGACTTCCAAGTGACGGCCGGGTTAAGAACAGTTCTCTGGCTATTTTAAATGTCAAGCTCAGCTGGTCTGACGGCTCAGCCTGGCTGGGTTTCAGGGTCTCGGGGAGATGTATGTGGAATGTTTCAGGAAGTCAAGGGACTAACTTTATAACTCAACAAAAAAGTATTGTGAATGGTTTCTGGGATCGCTGGGGAGTGACACATGGACTCTTGAGACTGGCAAGTCGGGGTCTCAAATTTCCTGTACTGTTTAAGTGCAGGGTCCATCTGCCTTGCAACCTCCCTTTCACTGCCCCCAGAACAGAGTAACCCGGCCGTCACTTGGAAGCCATTGTCAAGAAACTCTTGTCACGTGTACCCTTCCAGTCCCCCAGAGCAGAGCCACACTTATGTCTGCACCCCCCCCTCCCCCCTCACCAATCAGACCTTCAGAACAATCCTGGTGTGTTTCTCAGTGGGTGAAATCAAATGGGGAGGGGGCTTGTGTTGATAGAAAAAGAGCACCGTATTGCTTTGGAATTTGGTAAGTTACCTAGTTAGCGGGTTTCATTATTCTCCTTTTCTCTTCTGTTTCCCACCACCGCCACCCAAACCCAAAGTAAGCTGGTTCTGAATAAAATGGAACTTTTTAAAAAAAAATATTNAAAAAAGGTGCTGACAAGCAGTGCTGTTGAAGTCGCATGCTTTTTCCTGGCTCTTCAACGGCCCTTAGGAAATGGTCGCAAGCAGTGGGTTAGTTAAATGCACCATTGTGGGGCCCTGTTCTCTTTCACACTCCCTCAGTTTCCACCTCTTTCTCCCTAATCACCCCCATTCACCAGATCACTCGTGAGGGAATCAACAGTGATCCATCCATCCTGATTGTTTTCGCACAGGAGGAATTTCGTGGAGCGGGGGTGCAATTTCTCCCTCGCCTCAGGCCTCAAGCCCCTTTAGTCTTAAAATGTAAGAACAGTATTGGATTGTAGAAAACTCAAATCCAGTCTTAGTCTGGAAGCTGGCTTTTTCAGGGCATCGGAAGAAATTCTTTCAGATCGAAGACTGAATCGAAGAACGTTCTTTTGTGGGCTGAGACCAGGAGGAATTGCGGGCCTCGGGCTTGGCTGTGATTATGCACATTTATGTGCTTGCTCTTCAATGGACAGAAACACTTCATCACAAGTTCCATAATCTCACAAACAGTGAAGCTCGTGATAAGTGTCTTTGGTGTATAAGCCTCTCCTCTGTGTAAATCAAGCTGTGAGCAAGACATTTCACTTAAAGGGAGAGGGGTTGGATACCACATAAAGACCAGCGGCCCGGAATTCCACCTAACCTTAGCTCGCGACACCATTTCCTCATGTTTCACAGAAAATTCTCCCATTTGAGTCAATTTGGAAGGTGGGTTTCTGAAATTAACAAAAAGCAGCATCACAGCCGAAGACTGATTCTTTAGAATTTTCCATAATTCTGCGGCAATTTTACATTTTTTTAAGACTGAAACAGTGTTGCGGATCGAGGCAAAAGCGGGATTATTTTTTGGGAGGAAATGGGGGGGTGAGCAGAGGACTCGGGAGGCAGCTCGTCTCTCAATCTCACAGTATGACTTGACTGACCCTTCAGACTGAGAGTTGCTTCTTTCAAGACCCGAGGTGATGTTCACATTATTGTGCCATGTTTTTCTGGTCGCACGTGTATATATAGTTTTCTCTGGGTTTTTTTCGAGCTAATTTTGATTTAAGGATTTTCTGTGCTGGGAGTCCTGATGCCCAATTCCTCTTTCTCTTGTTTTATTCATCCCAAAATATATATGTTTCTCTGTGTCAAGCACTCCCATGCCTGTGACACCGGATGGCCCAACTGCAAACTCTGAGAATACCGACTACTCTTTCTCTCCTCTTCCCCCCCCAAATAAAAAGAGGTTGCAGATTGCCGTCTATGTGGATTTATCCACTTTGCTGGTGCTCAACACAGTACTTGTGTCCTATAGAACATCATTTGACAAAGATGGTGGGGTGGGAGAGCTTAAATGAGCTTCACTTACTCCAACCTCTTCTCCCCATCCCCGAACACTTCGTTTTTCTTGTCAGTGAAACCATGACACCATCACTGCTGGTTGAGGCGGGCTAGTTAGATCCTCGGGTGATTAAAAGGAGTGTCTCCCCATGCCCATACATCACATAATTTCCGCTGTTAAATTCTTTGTGGGATCAACCCTTGGAGACGGTCATGGGTTCCACAAAGCTTTTTGCTGTTTCTTGTTTGATGGTCCCCCACCACAGTCTCTGCCGGCCAACTGAACCCCTTTGTTTTCAGCTGATGTACACTGTGAGGCTGAGAACTGTCAAAGTAATGAACTGCATCTCAAACACAGCACAGGTATTTACTGCAATAACTGCAACCCACTAAATTAAAGGAAAAAAACAATTTAAATAAAAATATTTTAAAAACTTCACTTGTCCTCACCTGTGGCTTTCTATTATTTCTTATTTTCCCTTATTTCTATTGCAGCTTGTCCCTATTGCCCTCTGTTCCACCATCGGTGACTGCATTTTCAGCCACTAGGCTCTGGAACACTCCCTCAAACCCTCCACCTTGCCCCTTCCTTCCCCATCTGGAGTCAGAATTTTTTGCATCAATCGTGAATTTCACAGCTGAATTGGGAAATTAGGGGGGGGTTGGGGAGGGGAAGGGGGGCGCACTGGTGGATAGCTCCTCCCCCCCCCCACGAGATGTGATTGCAAACCTGCATTAGTGGCTCTTACAAGTTGATATTTATTGAACTCGGTTTAATTTCTCTCCATCCACTTCCTGCCTCTATTCTCTCCCTCCCCTCCCTGTGTGCCCCCTCACCCATCGTGGTCGGTACTGCCTGTTTTGAGACCGCGCAGGTTAGGATTGAGCACATTTCAATGGTTTTGAGTGAAAAGTTACTGCATCCCAATGAGCTGCTGATTTTTGGAGGAATTCACAAAAATGCCCAGTGGGAATTTTTTCTGCTTGGCCACCTTCTCCCACCCCAACACACACAAACCATGTTAGAGGTTTATTAACATGAGCCTCAACTACATAGTCTTCGTGACTGCTTACAATGGTCACCTGTGTGGGCTTTGAGCTATGTGTTGGGTGAGTGAGCTGTAGTGAATAAATGTTTTTACTCTTGCTTCTTCTCATATTGTGCTCCTCCCACACACACACATACATAGCTGTCAATGTTAGGAAATAAAAGTTATCTTGCTCGCAGCACTTTCCAGCTGAGTTCTTCGCTAAAGAAGGCTGCTGTAGTTATGACTGACACAGGAGCTCTGCTCTGCATTACTTGCCTCAGAGCCAGAGTTCCTGCTGGTTGACCTGGTCTACTTCCAGGAACAAGAAGAAGGTCATCTTATTGAACAATCCAGTTAGGAACCGCTTCCTGGGAGGACCCAGGAAATTGGATATAAGAATGAGAAATGCTGGAAACACGCATGTGTCTGGCAATTCTTCATAATCTCAGCCCCAGGACCATCGACTCACAATTGTGGAATGTTCTTCAATCTACCCTCACAGTCGGCTAGTTTTCCCATCACCATGATCAGCTGGTGCCTGATGCACATGGAAACCCATCACTACGATCAGCCGGGTGTGTTGACATATGCAGAAACCCATTACCATGATCTGCCGGGTGTCTTGACAAATGCAGAAACCCATAACTACTTTCGAGTATCCAAACCAGACAGAGTTCCACACATGTATGTCACCTACATGTAGAAATTTCCCTGTGTATACAAGATCATATATTAATATTATATTGTATAGTGCCTTTCAAGTTGGGAGGACGTCCCAAGGCGCTGGACAGAGTACAGCATTTCAGACCTGAGCTGGGGTCAGGCAGGGGGGGTGACCGATGGCATGGTCGAAGAGGAGGGTTTTGAGGCGGGACTTGAAGGAGGCTAAGGAGGGGGTGAGGCGGAGTGATTGGGGGATGGAATTCCAGAGGTTGGGGGCAGAGTGTATAAAATATAATGCGCGCGCACACAATTTCTCTCTTTCTCGTTCTCCTTCCCGCCCTACTTACTTAATTCTAAAGAATATTAATTACAGGTTGGTGTGAGCCAAGGCTTGGGGACCCCAGAATGTGTGTTGGGGTAACCACCTAAAACCACACA